CGATCATTTGCCTCATTATATATCAAATATTTGTATATCCTTTATTATATTATATTTACTTACATTTTTAATTAATATTTTAATTAAATATTTACAATTCATAAATTCATAAATAATATTGTCGAGTCAATTTTTGTTCATAAAATTTTTAGAAATATATTATTTTCATTGATTTGCTTATGTTGAATTGAGAAAAGTTATGTTTTTTAATTACATATAGGGAGGATATAAGATTTCTTATATTTTTTATGTAGTATTTATTGATTAATTGTGTTTATAATTTTTCTATTAAAAATATATTAAACACGTGACCTTTTTAGTTTCTATAAATATTTTTTTCATAAACCACTCATTATTTATCCCAAGATTACCTATTAATTTACCAATTGAGTTACAATTCTTACATATTAAATATTATATAATTAAAATATTTCTTGTTTTATCTGTTCAATATGATATTTATATATTATATTAAGAAAACTAATATAGTAAATAAAAAAGTTATTTAAAATTAGAATAATAAAGATTTTTTTTTTCTAATCTATATGTATAAATGTACAAATAACTATTGTCTATTACCTCAAATTTATACATAAAATTAATTAGAACAAAAAACTAACAAGCGTTTAACAACTCAGTTCGATTATATCGATAAGTATATTTTTAGAAGGTTTATATTTAGTTATATTAATTATATTATTTTTGTTTATTAGTTTGTTTTATCTTTATTAGTACGTGTCACAACTTAGTTATTATTCATATTATTTCTTATACTTAATATTTTTTTTAAAACTTTATAATCTTGTTCTTTCACATGTTCTTAACTGTAGATTTGTCAAAAAACACATAATATAAAGTATAGAATTTTTTCGATCACCTGCCTCATTATATATCAAATATATGTATATCCCATATTATATTATATTAAATTAAATTTTTTTAATTAATAATTTAATTAAATATTTACAATTCATAAATTCATTAATAATATTGTCGAGTCAACTTTTGTTCATATAATTTTTAAAAATATATTTTTCATTGATTTGCTCATGTTGAATTGAGAAAAGTTATGTTTTTTAATTATATATAGGGAGGATATAAGATTTCTTATATTTTTTATGTAGTATTTATTGAGTAATTGTGTTTACATTTTTTCTATTAAAAATATAATAAACAAGTGAACTTTTTAGTTCCTATAATTTTTTTTTTTCAAGAAATCACTCATTATTTTATCCCAAAATTACCTATTAATTTACCAATTCAGTTACATTTCTTACATATTAATATTATATAATTAAAATATTTCTTGTTTTATCTTTTCAATATGATACTTATATATTATATTAAAAAACTAATATAGTAAATAAAAAAGTTATTTAAAATTAGAATAATAAAGATTTTTTTTTTCTAATCTGCATGTATAAATGTACAAATAACTATTGTCTATCACTTCAAATTTACACATAAAATTAATAAGAACAAAAAACTAACAAGCGTTTAACAACTCAGTTCGACTACATCGATAAGTATATTTTTAGAAGGTTTATATTTAGTTATATTAATTATATTATTTTTATTTATTAGTTTGTTTTATATTTATTAGTATGTGTCACAATTTAGTTATTATTCATATTATTTCTTATATTTAATATTTTTTACAAACTTTATCTTGTTCTTTCACACGTTCTTAACTGTAGATTTGTCAAAAAAGACATAATATAAAGTATAGAATGATCATCTGCCTCATTATATATCAAATATTTGTATATTCTATATTATATTATATAAAAATTACAATTTTTAATTAACATTTTAATTAAATATTTACAATTCATAAATTCATTAATAATATTGTCGATTCAACTTTTGTTCATAAAATTTTTAAAAATATAATATTTTCATTGATTTGCTTATGTTGAATTGAAAAAAGTTATGTTTTTTTTTTAATTATTTATAGGGAGAATATAAGATATGATGACATTAGTATATTACCAATTTGCCATTAAAAACGTGTGAAAGTAAGGGTTTTTTAGGTAGTTCATTTTTTAATTAAAAATATAAATAAAATATGATGTGTATTAGTGTATTACTAATTTGCCATTAAATTTATGTCAAAGTAAGGGTTTTTTAGGCATTATGAATTTTTACAAAAACACTCCTCCTTTTAAAGTAGTATAATAAATATAGATATAGATATTCTTAATTAATTTTAAAAAAGATGGTTTGGTTAATTTTTAGTGAGATATTAACATAATATTTAAATAAAATGATTAAAACTGATTAGATGTAAAAATAAGAGATAAATGATTCAAAGTGATATGAAATGTATATTTTTAACTCGAGTGCGCAAAACGATGTAAGAACGTGGATAAACAACGTAAATAGCGGAAGCAATAAACCGAAGATGTAAAAACTCTTCAGGGAAGCGTCCCACTTCCCTTAGAGCTCTTTCATTGGTAAATCGTTCACTCTTGTATAGTTTAGACTTACACGACTCGAACTCCCTTCTAGTCTAGTCACAACTACACACGATCCTATCAATTACTTCTCCGGCCACGTCCCGTGGACTTCTATCTCTTGAATCCCTCGAGCTAACCACTGTACTTAATCCCTAAGTACTGATCACAAAAGTGTTTGAATGAAATAAAAAAACAAACTAAACAGTTTCAGTTCTTGGATACGTAAGAACCCTTGAACTGAACTGTGAACAAAATAAAACTAAAAAGGCTTGAAGCTCGAATATTGAATGGAAGATAATTGTTTCAGCAGCATATCTTCGATCTTCAAGCAGGGTATATATACAACTCCTTAGGGTTGAGTCTTCTCTAAGTTCTTCCTTTCCTCTGAGGAGTCAATTTCCTTCTCAATTGATTGCTTTCTGATTTGGACGAAATCCTTCATGTAAGGTAAGTTTCTTTGATGTGGAATTCGTGCATGTGATTTGGAGATCTTCAGAATTGAACTTCCAATGGAAATCTTGCCTTCCAGAATCCGGTAAGAACATGACTTTCTAAAAATAGCCGATCTTCCAAATCTTCAAAGATCTTGTGGTGAATCTTTTCCAAATCCTCCTTAGATCTTCTCATGAACGTCCAGAATTCTTCTTGTATGGAAAGCTCATCCTTTCATAGTCCTTGCCACTTATTTTTTGTCCTACAAGAAAGAGAGAACTAATTATGACATGTGACATACGTGGTAAGTAAGTATATAGGATATATATTATGTAATCCTTCTCCTAAAGGATTAGGATTCAATAATACATAGTACAATAAATATATACCATATATTATTAATAATAAATATTAGGCACTTAATTAAATCACAAGTAAATAAATAGAAAAACTTCTCTTTAATTTATTTTGCTTGCTTAACAAGAAATCTTCTAGAAAACACTTAAGTTTGTCGGACATGATGCCAAACCAATGTTCTTACATGATAGAAAGTTAAAATTAAGGTTGGTATCGATTTGATAATCGATACTTTTTGTAACACTAAAATGTGAAACCGAAAACCAAACCGACTAGTAATCAGTTACCGAAAACACGGTTATGTTTCGATTTTGTACCGAAAACACTGTTATATTTCAATTTTGTACCCAATACATGCCCTTTATTCATCACTGATAAAGGAAAAGGTTCAAAATTCAATCACTGGTATGATCATGTGATATCATTCAACCATCCACCAATATTGTCACAACATGCAAAGAAAGGAAAAACAACAGCAAAAATAGTAATAAGGAAAGAAAGAAGCAACATATACACATGGTTTTTTATTTTCAAAATAAAACAATATTTTAAAAAACAAACAAAAAAAAAAAAATGTATTGACTGAGTCAAATGATTTGTCCCGATTGTGTCAATGTTGGGTGGATCGGGTTTTGACCGGGTATGACTGAGTCTATTGTTACCCAATCCAAACCGGAGACCTGAATTGGGTAAGCTTCGGTTTGACCCGTCGGGCCGATCTGGTTGAAAAACAACGGGAAAAACGGTCTAATTGTGAAATTATTTTCATTCTCTGGCTTGAAACCAGCTGCAGCTTGACTGGTGATGAGCAATTTAAGGGCGGTGTGTAGGCCCCACGCCGTGTTCTCTTCCATGGCGTGCTTTTACAGATCCATGGCCAGCGTTTCGTCGTTCCACCACCATTGCTGTAGCTTGAGACCTCCGCTGTCTTCACAGTCGTCCTCGATTTTCGCCGTGTGGTTCGATCGATTGGGAGAGGAGAGAAAGCAGGAACCGCGAGTGAGGCCAAATCGGCAGAGGAGAATGGTGGCCACCAAGGCTTCTAACTGGACCGACTCCAGATCGCCTTACGAAACTCTAGGTATGCGTTTTAGTTTTACCAATTATGTTCTATGTCGAGGAAACTGAGGAAGGGTCTGTTTAGCTGACACCTGAATTCGGACTTCATCTGCTGATCCTTTAATGGTTATCGGATTTTAATTTTGTAAATTTTGGATAAGTGATGGGGTGAATCAGAAACTAGGAATTATAGGAGCCTGTCATTTGGGGGCAAACTGAGACTCCAAGAGTGTAGCAATTGTAGAATCATTTGCTTAAACTTGAATTCGAAGCACTTGTTTACTTTGATAAGTACGCGAAAGCAAGAGGGACAATTTGGAATTTCATTTCTTTTGCTCGCTTGTGTCCTTGTGTAATGGCTACCTAATCGTAGATGTTTTTTTTGTTCCTTTTTGTCCATTTCATGATTCTCTGTCATGTTTCCTTTTTGGGTAGCAAGCATATCTGTAGATTTCTGAATTATGCTTATTTGCTCTTAGCTGCTGGATTTGTTTTTACTTACTGTAGTTAGTCAATCTCCCAAGCATATCTGACACTGGCGATCTCTGGTAATTTCACTTGCAGAACTGGAAACGGATGCAGAAGACGAGGAAATTAAGGTAGCCTACAGGCGCTTGGCCAAGTTCTATCATCCTGATGGTTTGCCCTTATTCTCTGACTTCTATTTCTAAGTCTTCTTCTTTGTATGTATCGTCTACTATGTGTATACATGTACATATCATGAGGTTTACCTGCTTTTTCCTAAACTTAAGTAATTGTACTGGCCCTATCTTGATTATCTGTTCAATAAGTTGATCGTGTCAAGAAAAAAAAAAAGATGCTCTGTGTCTAACTAGCCTCAGTTGCTTCAATTGTGATTTCGATCAGACGAACCAAGAGCATATTCATAATTTTTAGGAAAGGCGAGTTTCTAGAAGGATTAACACATATTCTATATGTGATGACAGTTGATTTTGTTTGATTCTTGATCTAGAGCTAGTGGTTGGTCTCAAAAGAAGAGATCCTCTTCTATATCTGTGCATGAACTGAGGTTCAAATACCATGTCCAGTTTATGTTGTTGGCTGTGGTTGACTTAATAAAATTGCCTATCTGTAATTGTTTCTTTTTCCTGAAAACAAAACTTGGGTTATTCTCTTTCCTGTGGAATTGGCCATTTTTTTTCTTGTTTTATTTCAGTTATGTACCAGTTTGTTGTTTACTATTAAAAAGAACCCAGTAGATATCACCCATTCGTTTTTTTTTTTTTTTTTTCATTTACCTTTTTTATGATTTATAATGAAATGTGAAATGTCAGTAGCATTTCAGTCCGTCGCAATTGACACGTTCTTCCCGACCATGTACCTTTTTGGTTCTGTTATGAATTACGAAAAATTAAGAATATTACAGAACATCGCATATTGCCTCAACTATGTTTTGGAGCATCATACTACTTAATTTTCTACGTATAAAGTTCCTGAATATAAATTTGATCTTATGGTTATGTACTCCACGAATCATCGCATGAAGAGTTCTACTTAATTGTGAAGTGTTTGCATGTTTCTGATGACAAAAAAGCTAAGAACAAACAATTTTTTTGGATCAATTTAACTCAGACCTGAAAGGTTCATTTGTGAAATATGTTTATGTGATTGAAAGGAAGAAAACAAGTTGTTCAACTTAGTTCCTGATTTGACTTCCTCATAGTCCTTAGGTGTTTACATAATCTAGTAATTATTATTCAATATTACTTTTCTATTAGGTTGTTGAAGTATGTCGAATATAAGGTAAATCCGAGGATTTTGATAAACTCATCTACAAGCTTTCACGTGGACTTTATCAGCACCACAAAATGTATGGCATGTACTGCGGATTGATGTTCCTCTTGCTTCAAGGATCTTCTCCCTCTAACGGATGCTACTAGAGTATCCACCAATTGATACTCCTTAAACCTCGCACTGTTGTGATTCTCAAATAGCTAACTAGCTAAGCTAGCTAGATAGATAGAATAGAACTAGAGAAACCAAGAGAGCATGAATCAAGATAAAATAGAACTAGAGAAACAACAAGAGCATGAATCGTGTATTCTCGTGGGTGCTATTCGTCTTGGTACCAGTCATTTCTCTATAAGATATCTCAGTACAAATTTGGTGCTATCCAGTTATAGTCTATGCAATCTAAAGATGCATCTCTATCAATTACGACACATAAAGATATGATGCTATCACTGAGATTCGGCGCACTTCCCGTGTATATGGATGTAAATTAACAACAGTGCTGACTGCTGAACATTCAGCTCCTCGATGTTTCCCTGGTCAATATTGAGTTATGTTATTTAATGAATAATTGTGATGAATTATTTATAGTTTACGATGGGAGAGGGACCTTAGAAGAAGGTGAAACTGCGGAAACTCGATTTATAAGGATTCAGGCTGCATATGAGCTTCTTATCGATGAGGAGAAGCGGAGGCAATACGACAGTGACAATCGTGTGAACCCAATGAAGGTGACATTTGTTTCAATTATATAAGTTGATTTAATCTTGTGCATACTCAAATTCTGAATTTAAGGTGGTTCTGACTTCTGAGTACTGCTAAATTCCTTTGATATTCTGTATCCTGGGAGGTTTCTTCAGCTTTGCTCGTACACTTATAATATACTTGATTAGATAATGAATTGTGCATTTGTTCCATGAATAGTCATGCTGCTTTTAAGGACTATTTTGTAACAGTTGCTGTCACGTGACAGTCTCATAGCGAGAAATGATATTCTTAACACGTTTTAGGCTATATTTGATGACCGACCAAATAATAGTACTTTTACTTATACTTTATAAGTATAATATCATTTCTTGATTATGAAAATATTACCATGTCATAGTGAGTTGGTTTCACAAGTTTCTAGTGATATGTCAAAAAGTGAAGAGTTTATGTTTGATTATTGTTTGTAATTTAGGCAAAGTCAGAGGTTGGTACTCTGTGGTAATAACATCCAGTAAAGTAAGAATAAGGTGAAGAGCTTATGTTTACATTTGTTTATAATTTAGGCAATTAGAGGTTGGTACTCTGTGGTATTAACATCCAATAAAGTAAGAATAATAATACTGCTAGGGGTGGAGCTTGCAATTAAATTAATTGGGACGATATAATAAATTAACTAAACAACAGTAATACAATATTGAAGTTGATAAAAAATACTTAATGTCCGAATATTGTTCTTTTCGAGTCATTGTGATTTGAATTTTTTTTTACATTAGCTTTATTATTTTATCTTCAATATAAATCTTTTTTCCATTAAATAATGAGGTTATAGTTCAACTGATACGAAGTTGTTCAATATTCTTCAACTCTGTCACTTTATGGAGATCATCGATTAGGCATTTTATTTTTATAAAATATATCTATTGTTGATATCTATGTTTCCAAAACATTTTCAGTCCTAATTTAGTAAAATGATGAATCGCAAAGACCAATAATGTGAAACATGGTCAATTAAAATTTTTAATTACAATACTTAAAACTAAAAGTTGAATCAAAACCACAAAGTAGAAGATTCATCTTTCAATCACAAAAATTGATAGGGCACTCGAATAATGTTTTAAAAATAAACATATAAACATAAAGCACGGATTTGCACGAGTAGGAGAAGTAAATTTTTTTAGTGTGGGCACATATTGGCTCCTCCCATGAGTATACTCCGTGTGAACTGTAGCTAATATTACGCTTGTTAGATACACCAGTACACATGAAAAATTTTAAAAATACATCCATCTACACTACAATTTTGAAGCATTGAGTTAGATCAAAGTTTGAGAGATCTCATTTTATTGTGAATGAGTGAAGCCTGCTTTTTGCAAATGTAAATGAGTAAAGTTCTCTGGTGACTCGTGTACTTTTTGTTTCTCTATTTTCTTTTTTTAATCTGTAAGGCACTTACAAACTAACCTTCATCAGGCTTCTCAAGCATGGATGGAGTGGCTTATGAAGAAACGGAAAGCATTTGATCAGAGAGGTGATATGGCAATTGCAGCTTGGGCCGAACAACAGCAGCGCGAATTGAACCTCCGAGCACGGCGCCTTGCTCGCTCAAAGGTAGTATGTTTGTTTCTTTTCTTTATTTTTTCTTCTCTCAAGAAAAAGATTTTGAGAAAGCTGAAGAAAGAATAAATCAAATTTTCTTGATTTAGCCTATAACTGCATTTTTTCTTGCTAAATATCTGGAATGCTCCAATATAGCATTTAAAATAGTGTTGGCCTATGTACCCAAAAAAAAAAAAAAATAGTGTTGGCCTATATTTTGTTTATAACAGCAACTTCAACCTGGCGCATACGCAATTGCAACGGAAAATTTGAGAAAAAATGCTCCAACAGATGAACGCAAAAATTATCAGAATTGCAATTTTACCCTTCATCTTCCAAATATTGAATACATAGTTCATTTACATTATCCAATTAAAATGGAATTGATATTAATAAATATGGTTTAGGAGAAAATTAAAATAACGAAAAAATTGTAAAACTTTAAACTCATATATTATTCACATCTAGTGCTAAATTTAATCCCACAATTGAGGAAAAATATTTTTAAATATTGTAAATAAATTATATGTAAAATAAATTTACTTATAGCAATAGTTATTAGCATATTAAAAAACAGTAATATAAAAAATACTACAAAGTGATTGGAATGAAAATAAATTCATAACAAAAAGCAATATGGAAAAAGAACTAAAATTATTAAATTATTCATGAAATTGAAAAATAACATACAAATACTTGAAATAAAAAGTCATTAAATAAAAAAAAACATTCAAGAACGAAAAATAAAATTAAATGATAAATCATGAAGCAAATAATATATATTTAGTAATATGACAAATGAGCACCGCTTCCTCCAAAATTGTTGAAAAACTTAGTAACATATATTTACATGATAATTTATCTTATGTACGCCTTAATGTTTTTTCTTTTTTTCGAGTAGAGTAAATTTTAAATTTAATTAATATTTATTTTTTCGATTTTTCATGTGTACAAATTTTTAATGTTATAATAATTATTATTGTATGTTTTTTTTTTCAATCGAGTTTAAAGTAACAATACGGTCTAAATTTGTAAAGTTATAAAATATGTGGGTAATATTTAAAAGTTGTAAAAGTCGATGAGAATGAGAATATTTTGGGAATATTCTTTTGGGTTTGAGTATGAGTTTTTCAGTTGGAGAAGAATTACTGTTTGATGTGACACTTACTGCAAAATGAGTTTGAGAATGGGTTTTTTCGGTTGGAGATGGTCTAAGTTGGTAAATGGTTGTAATACACTGTTTTTTTTTTCTTTTTTTTTTTTTTTAACTTGAAATGCAGATTGATCCTGAAGAAGAAAGGAAGATATTGGTGAAAGAGAAAAAGGCATCTGTGGAGAACTTCAACAACACTTTGAGGAGGCACACACTTGTCCTTAGAAAAAGAGATCTAATGCGTAAAAAAGCCGATGAAGATAAGAAAAAGCTCATCGGCCAGCTTTTAGAGGCAGAGGGCCTTGAACTTGCAAATGATGAAGATGAAAAGTAGATGATTACCTCTTTCTTTTTAATACGTAGATTCGTGCGTATTGGTTTGTTGTAAAATATAGTGATATATAAGTGCTTACCCAATGGGTTTTATATATATATATACCATTTATACGTAGTAGAAATTATCCGGCAACTTGGAGCAAAATAATGTTGTGTAAAAGAATTTCGGGATGCTTCGGTTGGAAGTTTGTGATGGATAATTTGGTGTCAAAATTACACGGGAATCCTACGAACTGATATGTATTTTCAGTTCTTACAAATAATCTAAAAATAGAAAATTACAATTGAACTTAAAAATAAAATACAACTGAAAACGGAAAGATTTTATAGCCGAGGCGAGTAAAAAACTCTTTCCGCAAGAAGAATACGCCCCGTGTGGCTG